GCCCTGACAATAAATATTTTTTGGAGACTTGGTGATCTCCTGACTTTTTTAGGAGCGTCACCAACAGATCAAAGGTCACTTATCCTGTTAAACATCCCCACATCTACTGGATGGATTATTAGTAAAGATATTCATGGCTTCTCGACAGTAAAGCCTGCAGACTTTTGTGATCGTCTGACTTTTTTCAAGTGTCATCATGAGGTTGACATTTGTGGTTTTGAGTGAGAGTTACTGGATGGATTGCCATGCAATTTGGTACAGACATTCATGTGGGGACATGTGGCTCATTTGTAGAGATTTTTGTGATACTGTAACTTTTAATTTGGCGCCATCATCAAGTCAAAATAAACTATGGTTAATCATATCAAATCAAGTTTATTTATATCACACATTTAAAAACAACTGCAGTTGACCAAAGTGCTGTACTCATTAAAACAATGACACAGAAATATAGAGCAATATAACATGTACACAAATATAACCAATATACCACTACGAACAACCAAAGGCCATTAAAACATGTACATCTTAAGATTTGTCTTAAAAGTGTCAGTGGATGGGGAGCATTTGATTGAGAGTGGAAGGCTATTCCAGAGCTTTGGAGCAGCTACTGCAAAGGCACGATCTCCCTCACCCACCAGCCTTGATCGCGAGAAGTTAAAAGACATTGTTCTGCAGATTGAAGGGGGCGGGAGTTGTAGTAGGGGCAGAGAAGTTCAGCAATGTACTGCGGTGCCAGCCCATGTATGACCTTAAAAACAAATACCTTGGAGAACAACGCTTTGTACCTTGGAGAACCTTAAAATCAGTGCAGGGATGCTAGCAGTGGTGTAATGCTGTCTCTTTTTCTGGCACCAGTCGAGACAAAGACGACTGGCCATCACTCAGTGACCAAATGACCAAAATGACCAAATACCTGCAAAACTGATGACATACCCTTCAGTCTCAGCTGTAATTAGCAAATGCTAGCATGCTAGCACACTTAATTAGAATATAGACAATAATAATCACAATATTTGTTAATAATAACTTCCGGGTAGAGATCCCCACATATACGTATGTAAAATGTTGCGCAAATGCTGCCTCTGTTGGGTTGTTTTAGCCACCTAAAAAGGCCCACCTAAAGAGATGAATATCACTTCAACTCTATGCTATATTTAGAATATTTTAACCGCTTTCAATGGGGAACTGAAGCCGTTATTTCAAAGTCACCAGACTCCATTGACAAAAGCAGTAATAAGCAGTAATTTGACTTCACAGAACAGACGAGTTGTTGGACCTATGGCTACGCCCCCCTCCACTCACTCGGACAAATCAACATTCAGTGATCGGCGCTATGGCAGGTGTCACAGTACACGGCATTTTGCAGGAGGCAATTGATGATTTTTGGGGACATAACGATCAGATGTCATTGAGAAGTAACCAAAAGGGCCTAAACTACGCATTGGAGGGATATTCATCATTTTATTGTTGACAAGGTCGATGAAAAGCTTAAATTAGAAGCCAAAATTTACAGGTCACAGTGTAAGCGTGATAAACTGCATCTCGTTGCTGTCGCCATCAAAGACAACAAGTTTAAGCGCCACTGAAGTTAAGGTTTTTGGCTCAGAATATGATAAAAGGATAACGGCCTTTTTACCATCTTTACCAAGAGTGTCTCTCCGTTAGTTTGGTGCTACAGTATTTACACTGAATCATTCAGCATAACGTTTGTCAACCTTTGTTATCTCTGCGATTACAGATAAATTAATGAAGCTAAGCTCCAGAAGTTAACGTTAGCTTAACTAGAGCCCTTTGGACAACAGCTAACAATGATGTATAATCACCAAAGTACAAAACTAGAACAAAATAGGCTAATGAACTAACAGCAAACAAGGTGACATGATGAACAATGTAGCTAGGAGCTAACGTTAGGCTAACTTTAGCTAACGTTAGCTAGAGATGTTAAAGATAACTTTATATTTCTTTCCAGCAAAGTGACAATATGTTGCCTCAAACACAATGTTGACTTACCTTAGAACAGATGTAGACATCATTGTTAATCTTATTCACGCGGTTGAGTTGATGTTGTGGTCTACCGCACAACTTTATCCAAAGGAGACACTTTTCTCGGTTGAGATGTGGCTTAGGAAAGGGTAAAAAATACACCCCGTCGCCCAGCCTCTCAGGATACCTTGTGTCGGAGTTGCATGTACCCCATGCACACCATTTGACCATTTTTACACTTCAAATCTCAAAAAAAGCTCATAAAACCAAACAAAACTGACTTTCTGTAATGCATTTCAATGGACGTCCAGGCAGAGAATGTCCGAGTGTATGGGAATGGCTATACGCACTGTGATTGGCTCATCACATTTGAGGGTGGGGCTTAGCCATAGGTCAATTAGCGTGTAGAGTAAAGTGGAGCAAATATTCAATTTTTTTTATAGCATACTCTGAATCTGATGTAGATTTTTTAGGTGGCCAAAATATTTTTCTGTGACCCTTGTGCACAGTAGTACATTGCTTAGCTTTTATGCTGTTATAGGCTATCTAGTTTATCAAAGACGCTAGCAAAGCAACACAGTGCATGAAACAAGCCCTGCAGAAACATCAGATAGACTGGGCCACCATGTTTAACTGTAAGTCTTTAAATGTTACAGTTACAACTGAAAATGACAACAGAAATGAACAAGTTTGTCGATTTCAAGTATCTCCATACTTCAAGTCAATGGCCAGTTGTCTGCCCAGAAGAGACATCACAGTGATAAGGTCTATGATAAACATTATGAGCATCAGAATGTTAGCATTGTCATCGTGACCATATTAGCATGTTAGCATGTTGATGTTAGCTTAAAGCACAGCTGTGCAGCCTCACAGAGATGCTTGTTTGACTTTTACTCTAGTTCATTGAAACAAAAAGTATAATCTTGTTGATTTAGTTTGTTGAATCTGACTAATTATCATATGGAAGGATGCTTTATTTTCTTTTGTTGTAACTAAGCTAATACAAGACACAAGTAGGCTAACTTAAAGTAATGAGGATGTGAAAGCCAGGAAAGATGACGTGTAATTTGTGAACCATCTATCTTCGCTGTAATTAGGGTCAAATCATGAAGTTTACACAAAGAGACTTTGGACTTTCCCCTTTGACTCACCAGAATTCATAGGGTGTTAATTTAGCCCCAGAGAGATGGTTTAGTCAGAAGCTATGTGACGTGCGTGCCAGATTTATTCAAACTTTGGTCAGAGATAGCTTTATCATCGCTAAGCCCCGCAGACAATTTTAACGTCTGCCATCTATAGATCTTGAAAAGTAGGGCAGCTGTCGTTTCCAAATTAAATAAACTGTTTCTCCCAACGATTTGGGCTTTTTTAGAAACGTGCATTTAGTGGTGTGAGGATGGTGGTAAAGCTAGACTTTAATTTTTATTTTTCCTGGTTGGAACGTTGTGTTTCTCACTCGGGTGCATGACAGGAGTCTGATCCTGTCCTGGTCCTGGCTTTTGTAGTCTGGATGAGGGAGTCTTAAGTGAAGGGCTTTAGTCAGGACCACTTAAAAGAGGCTTCAGATAGAAGCTGTCATTATTTCCCTATTGAGAGACAGAGGGCACTGCTAGGTGAGACCACACACACTTGGGAGAAATCTTTGTTTTTGCCAAGATTTTAAAAGTTAAAGTTAAGCTGAAATAAATGCAGAACATGATATTACTAGAATAGACATGTCTGTTTTGCTTGTTAGCAAAGGCAGAAGCTTTCATTCTTCTTCTCAACATACTGGCTCCACTAACTGAACTCCCCTCCTGCCCTGGGTTTAACTAAGATTACATCCTATCATAAATGTGTCAAAACAGATTTAGAGTTTTTATTTAGAGTTTAAGTTCACAATTTCTGCTGGATCCTGCTGGATCCTGCTGTCTCCTCTAACCTACCATTTTGCTGTGTGCAAGTCCCCATTGAGATGTCGACATTTTATGAAATATCCATCAATTTCAACATTATTAGATCATACATACGCCTGCCTGGCATCCAAACTAACCGAGAGAGATGGAGATTTCAACCACATGGCGCTGGACTGACACTCCAAAACAGCCCTGCGGTTGGCAACATCCTCCCAGACCCAACAATTTTTTTTGACCTAGCTGCTGCTTTTATAGAGTGGTTGTTTATTTTTAGAGGTCGAAACACTGTAAGACCGTACCACAGGTCATTCACTGGTCAGTCTCGACATCATTGTTAAATTTGTCATGTTTTTCCATTGTTATTATAAAGAAATAAATTGCGGGTGGAGTGGGGAAGGATATGAACAGTTTGACCTATCCTTTGAGATTTCCACAATTACGCCCACTTTTCAGCACCTACTGTTCATCATGCTTCGTCTGCAGAAGCTACACCTCGTCGTAGCGTAGTGTTTCAGTACGTGACAGATTTATGACCTGTTTAATAATTTGCTTTAGACAATCACTTGATTCTGGTGACTCTAGATTGCTCTCTGTGATGGAGCCCAAATGAAATGGTCAGCAAGACAAGCCTTTGACTTATCAGCTGTCTGTCGATGGTCCTCCAGGCATGACTCTCCCATTTCCTCCTGACCCAATTTCAAAGTTTGCCTTGGATCCAGCTCATTGTGTCAACCCAGTGCACGTGGATGCCATTAATGTGTGATTTATTTTGCACCCCATGTGGACTGTAGCTGTGGCTGAGGTATTCTCAGGTCTTACAAAGTGCTCCAAGAGAAAGATTGGTGTTCATCTCTACATCTATAGAACACACCACCACTGATGACATTTTAACAAAGATAAGCATACTGTAACTCATGAGTCTTTGAGGGATGGAAAAGGTTCACTCGGATTGATCATGATGAACTGTTACATGATTTTGATCCTCGTTTAAATGTTTCCTAGTGACAGCCATAAGCTGCGAGTAGGCCTACAGCTCTTGGAGAGAGACCCAAGCATGTCCACATGTGAGATGAGTTGTTTGTCTCCCTGTGAGAACCGGTCGTGTCTGTTGTGTATCAGGGCCGTGGCTCGGAGATTGGCTGGAAGTGCGATGGGGACCCGCAGCCAGGAGAGAAGGTCCTGCAGGATATAAAGGAGAGGAGAGGGCAGGAGAGACGGCTCCAAGAGATCCAACAGCAGCTGGAGATACTGGGCCGGGGCCAGGAGATGACTGTGAGTTCAAAGCAGCTATGTTCGTTCACACACAAAACACATGCTCGTATTCACACGAGTGCGTCCATCCACGCACTGTCTGTGTTGCGCTTTATAACACTCCTCGGTGCTTCTATTCGTAGACACGTGTGTGACAAATTATTACAAGTGAGCAGCTCCTTCTCAGTCATTCTCACAGGGGGACAATGAAATCACATGCAATATCCGAGTCTCTGCAGGCCCATATTTTTTGCTCCTTTTCTTCTCTCCCTTTCTATCATTACCACACTCTCTTTACAGTTTTGTGCAAAATGTATGAGATAAAATATCTTTCTCTGCTTTGCTTTGCACACAGGTTTGACCTAAGGGCGAGGACGGTCATTTACTCCACTGATAGCCTTTTGTCCTCTGCAGTATTTCATTGCTCTCTAGCATTCTTCTCTGAGATTCGATGTCCACCCTCTGCAGCGTTCCCTAGAAACCATTGAGCTCTGTCTGGTTTTAGGAGCCTCTGCAGAATTACAGCCTCAGAAGTGTTTCCCCCAAACCCTGTAGCTAAAGGCACAACACAAGAATGTCTGGAGAACAAAAGGAGGATAGCTCTGATTTCTGCTTTCTCTGACATTTATGACTTCAGATTTTGTGTGCAAAGAAAAGGAAAACATTTGAGATAGATTCAGTGTTCTGACTATGTCATTGTTCGTATGGGGTAACTTCTCCCGCTCTTGCGCAACAAACTCTCCGTTTGCCTCCTTGTAGCGCTGCTGTCGATGGAATACAAATTTAAATGTGTTATCCCTAACTGCAGTTCTCACACTGATGAACCACAACATGATGCATATATGCCTAATTTAAACATAAAAGATGCTCACAAAAAGTGAGGTAATAAAAACATTAAGTGGCAGCCACACCCTTACATCAAACAAGGCACCATGCCATGCAACCTCAACCTATTCCTGGCCTAATTAAGGACACACAAATGGAATTTTTTGCTAATGAAGCCAACCTCCGTTTGAGGAAACTGTTCTCTCTTTATCATCACAAAACATCAAAACCACCAGTCTCTTAACTCATCGTACAGCTAGCCACTCTTTGTATATATCTGTGTCTCACTGCGTTTTATATACTGTGACTAAATCATTGAAGCCAGCCAGTGACTGCAATGTAAACAGCACACTCTCTGTGTATATTCTCTGTGCCACCGGGCTTGTTTTGTGGTTGGGAAAGATTTATTTGTATGGAATTTGTCTGGGAGGGCATTCTCGAACAGTTTCACACAGCTCCAGTATACTCATAAAGTTGATTTGTGCGACATCCGTAACTCAGATGTCTTCTCACAGTCTCTTTGCACCTGAAGTGTTTACCAACTGCGAAGGCTTTTTGCATATTACTCTGGTGTATTAAAAGAGCGTGATAACTGAGATCAGTTTGAGAGTTATTTTAATTGAGCTATGAAGTCAAAGTCAGAGCAATTTAGGAACATCTTTTTAACATCTTTCTGCAGCTCCAGCCCAGATGTTTCCTCACAAGTTCCAAATCTCTTAGGTTTTTAAAATACCTTCAACTCTGGGTCATTCAGATTATAATATATGCCCATTTGTTCACATTCACTTGGCATTGTAGGGGATCCTTTTGTTGCATAGATTCACATGTAGCTAAACATTCATTCTGTGAACTCTACCCTAGCATAATATAACAAATAGGTTTCAAGATTAGTAATGCTATTAACACCAAATTCACCAAAAACCCTTACCTATTTTCTGTAATTCCAAAATAGTATCATCACATAATTTTGCCTTTTTTAGGTGTCAGGAGTGAAAATCCTCAATGTTTGCTGTGTTATGGTTTCAGAATGATGAAGACAGATGGCGAACACTTAGCTACAAAATAGGACATAGGCTCTACAGGATGCTTTCTTTTCCTTGGCAGCTATCATGTTTTTCCTAAATGATTTACAGACTTTTAGGCTGTCTGTTATCTTAAATGGATGAAAAATTATGTATATAACTGCTGTAAATGGGAAAAAATCTCCCCAGTAGAAAATGACCCTGGAATTCCCTAGATTTGGCCAGAGTCTCAAATGTTTACAACTGTCTGGCTCCGCCCCTGATCGTTTAATATAAAGCAAGTATTCCTCCAAATGGTACCAAAACTATAAAAGTATTAGTCATTTTGGAAGATGTACTTATTTTTGTTATTTCGAGAGTTAGATGAGAAGATTCACTTTTCATTTAACTCTCTGCAGTAGTGAATTGAATTGCGTTTCCCAAAACCCCAAAAAACAGTATTCATTTAACTACTACTATTCATACTTTAAAGTGGAAGCACTGAAGCAGACAACTTTTAAACACACCTCCACCCCACTTAGTGTTTTCTAGTGGTACTATTGTTGGCACCACTGTTGCAAACATGACCGTATGGCTTTTCATTTTCAGGTTTTCACAGACAAGGCCTTCACACACTGAGGCCTCATTTACACCACAAGTGATGCGTTCGCGATGCGGTCCACAAGCGTAGCGGCAGCACACGTGTATTCACACCAAAACCAAACAGACATGTCACGCAACGGCCACTGCTGTCCCGTCAAAATACAAACCACACCTGAACAGTTGGTGGCAGTAGTGCATCATGTTTGCAAATCTCCAATAAACCCCAAAGAAGAAGAAGTGAGTTTGGACCCAAAGCCCAGGTTGGACAAGTTTGTGCGCCAGTGATTATTCCAACGCTTGGAGAATTAATATTTAGCACTACAAATGGGTAAATAGTCTTCGTCTGCTTTGTATTACTACTAAACATGAGTTTGCGTGTGTTGTGACCTCTCTCAGCCACCGTTGATATCGATTTTTTGTTGAATACAGCAACTGTTCACTTGCGACTCGCACAAAAAATCAGCGTCTCTTCTATTTATGAGCTAAGAGCAACTGTTCGCAAGCGCTACACGAACGCATCGCTTGCGGTGTAAATGAGGCCTGAGTCAGTTTTTTTCTTCCGAAATTGTCGCACGTCTAAAAATGAATATGACCTCACGTTGTGTCAATCATGTTTGTACGCTGAGTCCGAAACTTTCATCTGTGATTAAAATGTTTGTAGCAAGTTTGAGTTTCTGTGTTTTTCACATCTGTCAGAAGCCTTTAGAGACGTTTGACCGAGAATCAGTGAGGAACATGTGGTGGTGGGACACAGCCGCAACACAACAGAGGAACGGGGGTCACAGAATAATTTCGTAACTCAGATAGCTCACGTTCAACAAGTCAGATCGTAATATTCAGGTGGATGATGATGACGAGGAGGAGGATATGGACCGCACACAGACAGAAATGGAGGACACCTCCAACCCTTTATGTAGCTGCGGTGCCAAATGCAAGACAGGGAGGGAGTGGTGACAGCCACATAAGTACCTCCAGTGGAGAAAGGCAAAGGACGAAATGTGCCCTTTCATTTTGTCACGTATTGTGAATTCTCACAATGAATACAACAATAAAATGCATTGGAATCAGTGTGCAAGGTTTCTGTGCGTAACAGTTCTTTTTCAGATGACCGATTAAAAAAAACACATCCGAAAGAAATGGACTCAGTGTGCAAAGGCCTTAACTGTGATTGCTCCACCCTTTGTCACATGTCAGTTTAGAGGAGGACCCAAATGCAGGCTAACAGACTGTTTGATTTTGAATTTAGCTGATTGAAAACATTCAGTACAGGCAAGCAACTCAAAGTCCAAAACGAAAGCAGAACAAAAACCAGACTGAAAACCAACCGAGGAAAACACATTGAACAGGAACGAGCACAGGAATCACGCAGGGATGAATGCTGGAACGACCACAGAATGCACTCAGGAGGAACACAGACAAACTGACAAAGGGAAACACACAGGTACATACACAAAAAACTAACCACAAGAACGAGACACAGCTGGAGAACGAAGACATGGGCAAAAGGAAGGAAATGGAGATTGGCTGACAACAAGGGTGGAGCAGACAAGACTAATACAGAACAGGTGTGAAGGGAAGACTCAGGGAACTGGGAAGGACTAACGAGACAGGTGTGACAGAAAACAGGCGGGACAACACACAAAGACAGGAGGTAAAACCAGACACGACACATGAGGAGAGAATCTACAAAATAAAACAGGAAGCAGATTAAACACAAGTGAATAACATGAAACAAGGACCACAAACAAAATATAAACAAACCCAGGATCATGACACCCTTCAGCATTTTAGCTTCTGGGCATAGTACTGCAGGAACTTACTCACTAACTGATGATCCTCCTCCTGTCTTGGTTGTGTGATGGTTTACACGCTTTCTTTGTGGCGTAAATCGAGCCTTCATTTTCCTGGGAGATTGTACGCGACGGCAGACAGAGTTGCATAGTGAAAGCAGGAATTACAGGGAACCAGTCTAAACACCGATGTTGTCATTACTTATATTGTGCAATCAACATTTACTTCATATAATACGTTAAAACATAAAACTTCTCTGTGTCCATTTTAACTTAAGTACCCCATGTGTCCCCTTTTAGCATTCATGGCTACAGTCCATGAACAGTTAATCCCTAATAGTGCCTTCCATGAAGTGATATCATTCACTTGGAATGAGTTTTAAAATCTAGTAAAAAAACAGCAACACTTAAACAATCTGTGATGCTACTGCCGAGATAATTCCATTTGTTTCTGTCTGTCAAACCTTTTTAAGAAGTCGTGTGCTAATCGGTGATGACAAGAGTTACAATGAATCCCGAATTCTAGAGAAGGAAGCTAACATAAGAGGTTGACTGTTTATGAAATTGTTTTAGGAACATGTTTTGAATAGAAATGATTTACTGAAGTACAATAACTCCAAAAAAATCACCAGGATGGACTGGATATTAGATGTTTTCCTTCCAATTTGGAAGTATGCCACTCTCTGTTTAGTCTGGCCGGCTGCTTACCAACTGAGAGTGTGGCAAATCAAAAGGTTAGTCTCCAACATTGTGGCAGTGACCACAAACTACTCTCCTCTCTCCTCTCCTCTTCTTCACTTTG